TTTTTTTTTTCAGAGAGAGTTTGTCCCTTCACTGGAAAGAAATCAAACAGGGCCAACAAAGTATCATTTTCAAACCATAAGACAAAGAAACTGCAGTTTGTGAACCTTCAGTACAAAAGAATTTGGTGGGAAGCGGGGAAGCGCTTTGTGAAGCTGCGTTTATCAACTAAGGCATTGAAAACCATAGAGAAGAATGGACTTGATGCAGTTGCAAAGAAGGCTGGAATTGATCTCAGGAAGAAATAAGAGTACCTAATTATGGTTTTGTAACAGAGTACCTAATTATTTCTTCTCCGTATATGACTTTTCAGAAGCAAGTTGTATTGTTTGTAGAGAAAAACAAGATATGGAGAGCTTATAGGCAATGAATTTCACTGATGGAAATCTCTTTGATAAACCCCTCGTGCAGCTTATCCATGGATATCACAGGATCATTAGTAGCTTCTTAAATGTGAATTATCCTACTAAATTGTTTTTCTTTTATGTATTTTGAATTGCAGTCACCACAACAAAAAAAGCTGTTGGCAGAGTCTCTGACTTTGGCTCTTAGTATGGTAATCCCCTTGCAATGAAGAGAATAAGGTGAATGACTATGATAGGTAATTACATTTATCATCTTATCTGTCAAGTATATGGAGATGTTATATAAATCAGTATCATATTTAGAAAGTAGAAAATGCTGGGTTTGTAAATCACAATTAGTTTTGTAATTCTTTAAGCTGCGAAAAGAACAGAAGTGTTTGTTTCATCGTCAGAAATAGGATTTAAGAAATATTATATACCTGGAAATGTTATAATGTATGATAAGTTTAACTTCTTTAAGATTGAAAAGTAACTTCTGTAATTTAGAATTTGAAAAGCATTTTAAAGTTTAAGTATTTTTTTTTAAATGTATAGACACATGTCCGTATAATTTATATTCTTTGGTTTTCTTTTATTATTTAGAGAGAAAAATTAAAGGCGAGGTGGACCTTTTGAAAATCTGAAATTTCTTTTGGAAATGAATTGAAAATGAAAAACTTGATTAACCAGTAGATGGACCTTCATTTTCATAGGTTGGGTCTGGAATTGTATTTTCATTCGGTGAACTTTTATTTTATTATATATATATATATATATATATATATACACACACACACACACGTATTTATGGAATTTTTGATCGGTCATTGACCAAGAAGACATGACAAATAAATGGTATAGTTCTGTTAATAATAGATCATTTTTTTCATGCTGATTATCCAGTAAACGTAATCTAGTACGTACCAAAAGTTGCGGAATTAAAGGTAGTCCAACCATCAACAACACTGCGATTCCCTGTAATAATTGTCTTGTTGATGCCATCTCCAACTATCATCAAGTACGTCTTTTCCTTATCAATTGACACATTTTCCTCGTAAACACCCGCAGTGACGTAGATGAGGAAGTACCCTGAGGTAGAGGAAGACTTGTTGGGAGCCGCCGTAATGGCGTCGTGCAAGGTGGTGAAGTTCCCGCTACCATCTTTGCTGACAGTGATGACGTCCTTCACCCTCACCTCGTCACCCACCTTCCCCTGAAGGAGCTTTCTCCGACTCACGGAGTCGTAGATCGCGCGCGTTCTGCCGGATATCTTTAGCGGTAAACGACCGTTTCGAGAGGCGTGGTGTTTGGAGGGTGGGTGAAACGCGGTAACGTTAGCGTTGGTTGGGACCCAGCCCTTGGTGAAGAGCGCGAGAGAGACGGTGTAGAGCTTGGTGTCGTTGGAAAGCGGTAGGAAGAGTCCGCTGCTGACACGCCAAGCGGAGGCTGTGACTTGGAGGCTTTCCAAGCAGGTTTGTTGGTTGGTTAAAATGGCGCTTAGAAGGGTTTGGATGTCGTCAGCTCGTGAACTGGGAAGGAGCGTGGTTGTGTGGTTCAATGTTTGGAAGGAACTGGAGAGAAAGTCGACGTTGAGTTCGGCGAGGGTTTGGCAATCTTGGAGCGCGTGGATTGCGGAGGTTGAAAGAGAAGAGCGGCGTTGGAGGTGTCTGTTAACCAAGTTCAAGAACTTGGTTCCTTGTGAAAGAGACTCTCTCAGTGAGAATCGGGCATAGTCGTAAACGTTGGCGTTTTGGGGAGGGAAAACGGAACTGCAATAAGATGGGTCTGGGGTGGATTTGCATATGGTTATGGGAGATGCAGAAGCGGTTGATGGGGTTTCTGCGAAAACCAGGGAGATAAATAACAAGGGTATGAGGAGGATGAGAAATGTTGTTGTTTTCGGGTGGAAATTACGGAATTTGTTGGCCATTGGGACTTGATACGGAAGAGTAAGAGTTGGGTAGTTTGTAATGGAAATTGAGTTTGCTATTTATAGAGAAAAGGAGGTGGTTTTCTAAATAGAAAGATTCCCTCGTGCATTTACCTTTTACATGCATGTATGTATACATTTTCTTGGCAATTGGGTGTTAGTGGTCGTGGTGTTTAGTACATCAATGAACGGGCATCACTCTCTATTCCTTCTATGGTAATCAATAATTATACGGGTACTGTAATCGATTACCAGAGACTTGAGAGCATTTATACAGAAAGTTCAACATGACTCCCCAATTGGAAGAACATGACTCCTTGGGATGAGATTGTTTCTGTTCTTGTGACTTTTTCTAATTTTTGAGATGAGTGAGTGAATTTAATGGTCATGAGTAATGTTTAGTGCACCAATGAACACATTAGGTCATTGAATTGTTGAGAAAAAAAGTCATTTAGGTGCTTGTAAGTTAGATGCACTCATTGTTGTCCATTTTCTATCCTAGTAACTAGAGACCTGAGGGGCATTTGTACAGAAAGTTCAACGTGACTACCCAACTAGAAGAACAGGATTCCCCAGGGTTTCCTGGACTTTGTTTTTGAGTGATTTTTTCAAATTTTTGGGTTGGATGAGTGAGTTTCCTCATAATTGGTAGTGTTTAGTACATCAAAAGACACCTTCGTTCATTCAAATATGGAGGCCAAAGCCTAGATAGGTTGTTTGAACAAAGGTTGGTCAGCGGCTTGAACATCGGTGCCCAACTTAGGTTTTGGTAATCGATTATAGGGTTCTTGTAATTGATTATTAGAGGCATTTTGGGAATTGGGCTCCCCATGGTTGTTTGGGTTGTGTTTTTGGATGATTTTTTTCAATTTTTTTCAACTTGGGTGAGTGATTTTCATGGTCTTTGGTAGTCTTTAATGCCTGAAAAATATCTATTCCTTTAATTGTGGACTTAATCGATTACTAGTGTGTTGAATTACATGTGTTGCAACAACCATTACAATAAAAATACGATTGTGGACCAAAATTGGAAATGTTCTTAAGATCATTTTTAATGAGTACATTTGATCCAACATCTTTAATCATAAAATTTTGTAGAGCTATCAAAATGGGTCACAACCCACAGGCCAATCCGGCCCACCACGGGTTCGAGCCAGGTTGGGTTTTAAAAAATTGTATTTTTTTTATGCGGGTCAGATTTCAACCCGACTCATTTAAACTCGGCTCATGCGGGTTGAACCCGTGGCGGCCCACCAACCCACCTACCTAATTTTATTTTATTAAAATTTAATTTTAATTTTATAAAAAAAATTTATTATTTCTTTTTGCTTGAAAAAATTATTTAAATTCCTTATTTTCATAATTAATTAAACACTCATGTTGGGAGTGAAACTTGGGAGTGAAATTTGTTTAGATTTCAATTATAGAAAGTTTGTAAATTTTTTTATTTAAAAAAAATTGTAATTAAATGAGTGAGTGAGCCAACCCGTGGTGGGTCGGGCCGGGTTTGAATTTTTTTGGCTCGCTAATAAATGAGTCGGATTGGGTTGGCTCACTAAGTGACCAACCTGTGTTGGACCGGACCGAGTCAGGCCGAGTGACCCGTTTTGACAACTCTAAAATTTTGTATATTAAACCTAATGAATAACTTGTACATCATAAATGTCAAACCCAACATTTAGGTGCAAGTCTAATATAATTTATATAACAACACAATCGTACAACCATAATATATACAAACTTGAACAATAATATATACACATTGAAATTGAGTTAAGAACATCACAATGACATCCATTTATACAAACTTCAACCATAATATATACAAACTTGAACAATAGTATATGTGTTCTGGTTCTCGACCTCAAAGACGAGATAATCTCCTCCCTTCAACCCATATTATTTGCAAAATTTCTTCCACTATTTTCTAAACTTTGTCGAACTACGTGATGTGGAAAGCCACACTTTGCACTTAACCCCATCTTTATGTCCAACCATGAGAACCTCTGCCAATTCTCCGCTTCTTGTGAAGGCTGCAAATCTACTTTGCAAGTCCTCCTAAAAAACATAAACCAATTTAAAGATAATGAGATTTTTTGCTTTATTATTACATTAAAAACAACCATTTAATGAAAATGGAGAAAAAGAAAACGCCCAAACATTAACTTACCTTGCTTTGAGATGACTCTATTATTGTAAATGGACAAAAGCAAAATGTCCAAAATCACAAATCGAAAGGGGAAAAGGGACAACAACCACAAGACAACCAAGAAAATAAGGAACAAACACATAGAGACACCCAACAACCAACAACAACATAAACCCAAAAAATTAAGGTTTCTAAAACAACTAAAGCAGAGCACACAAAGAGGAAAACAAGAAACCAAAAGCAGAGCACACAAGGAGGACGACAATGGTGGTACACCAAATAAGATCGAACAAGTTTTCAATACCCCAAAGACCAACAAGAAAACGTCAAATAGAACGAAACAAACATAGAACCTAGCCACGAGCACGACGACGACAATGAAGGAAAAAATGGTTTTCGCAAAACAACAAATACATTTTCGAAAGATCGAACAAAACCACCAAAGCGATGACAACAACAATGGTCGACAAATTGAAAGAGCAAACTACCTGATCACAATGGTGATGGTGATGGTGAAGGAATGAAAAGAGATTCTTCAGTGATTAAGGAAAGGAGAGAGCTCTCGAAAAAAAGAACAAGAAATTTAAAAAAATAATTAAAAACTTAATTTGACCACAATTTTGTTCTCTAGGTCAGATTTTTTTTTTAAATATTCAAATAGACCAATAATACTCTAACAAGTGATGTTGTCAAAATTTTATTGTTAACCTATCATCATCCTTTCTCAATACAACTTATTTTGGGACATCCATGGAATTTTGCACAGTATATATGTAATACGGATTCGTAAAATCGTCCCACGCATACTGCTTGACATTTATATAAAAGAGACAAGATTAAAATATATATTACGGCCATGAAATTATGTGATAATAATACAAGAAGTTCGGAAATTAGGGTGTTCAAAAGTAATTTCTCTTTACTTTTCGCTGTTCATGTATATCTCTTTTGGCGCCTCTCTATATTCTTTCTGATATATAATAAAATAAAATAAACAGTAAACTTCTTAAAAGTGCAAAAATAAAATAAAATATGTGCATAAATAAGCATTTGTTTAATAAGACTCTCTGCATAACATGGTTCTAATTGATAAAAAAAAGTACAATATAGATGGTTGAATTTGTTTCATTTTCTATCTTTGTAAGGATAAAGAAGAGTCTATTCAACATAATTTATTTTAATGTGAAACTGCTTATTTGATATGGCTACAAAGCATTATTACATATATGTAGTGGTTGTCTAGGGATTATTATTAAACTTCTTATTATATATGTGGTGGTTGTCTAAGTATAATTAACTGCTTTCATTAATTAAGCGATTGTAAAGTTTAAGTGTTTACTTTTAGAAGATAAATTATTACACGGATAAATTTGGTTCTTTAGGATTAGAAAATAAAATTTATTATATATGATATTATTTTATTTAATTCTTATTTTTTTTATCATAAATATAAACTTTTTATGTTTAAATTTCTTTTGAAAGAAATTTTTTATGTAATTTTGGTGTAAGAATTTAGTTAGTTCCCATATTTTTTTTAAATAATATTTTTCATATAATAATAAATTATGGTGTGAAATATACGCCTAATTGAAATGCAATACTACATAAAACAAAGAAGAAAAAACATTTTTGCATTAATATTGTGTTTAATTCCAACAATTTAGTGTCTATTAAATAAAAAATCGGACACCAATTTTCGTTAATTGTCTGTATCAAGTGACATGATAAGAAGAGGTAGGGATTAAGATTATGACTGACGTCATAATTGATAATGAATTTAGACATATTCATAATATTCTACTTAAATATTTCTTCATCCACTATATTTTTCCGATCAATATCATTTTTAGCTCATGATTAGGCATTACCATAATTTATTAAAATGAAAAGATAAGACAAAGGCATGATCTTTGTTTATGCTATTGAAAACATAAATGGAAATTCATAAATATAATAAAATAATATAAAAATTAAATCTAATAAAAAATTCCTAGACAAATATATTTTGGTATAAATAATGGTAATGACATTTAAATGTATATCAAAGTATATTAATATTTTTATGGTTTAATACCTATTTTGGTCCCTCTTTTGGGAGGGTTTGTTCAAAGTGGTCCTTCCTTTTTTTCAAAAATTTACTTTAGTCCTACTTTTCGCAAAAACTGTTCAAGTTGGTCCTTTTTGGTAACGGCGTTAAGTTCACTAACGGTAGAACTGCCAGGTGTGCAATGTTTGATGACTTGGAACCTTTTATATGTGTTGGCAGTGTCACTTCATTATATGGGTTAAAAAAAAATTAATTTCTCAACCAGAAACCCTAGGGAGAGTTTTCTTCCCACTGCCTCTCACTGATTTGCCGCTGCAACAGGCCTCCACCCAACCAGCCACCGCGAGTTGGGGCACAAGGCGTCGCGTTGACGTTCGTTGCCGATCGAGGTGAGAGTTCCCCTCTTCCGCCGCTCGTCGCGCGATCGCTGCCACAATCTCTGCCGGCCACCGCACCAAGGTGCCTCTTCCTTCTCCTCTTCGCTGCCACAAATTATAATGCCACATGATCAAACATTGCACACCTGGCAGTTCTATCGTTAGTGAACTTAACGCCGTTACCAAAAAGGACCAACTTGAACAGTTTTTGCGAAAGGTAGGACTAAAGTGAATTTTTGAAAAAAGGAAGGACGACTTTGAACAAACCCTCCCAAAAGAGGGACCAAAATAGGTATTAAACCTATTTTTATTGTGCATTTAAACTGATTTTAGAATTTTTAATTATTAGTTTTTATTTTAAATGAATTAAAATTAAGTTTGATTGAATGTAATTTGATAGTAGTGAAATTGATTTTTATTTTGTAAT